ATTTTCCTCCCAGAACTAGCATCTTTATGAATGAACTGGTGTAAGTGATTTTTGAAGGCTTCCGGGGAATTAAAGTTCTTCCAATTAAAAGGATTTTGAAGGGATCAAAATAAATGATAATCCTAAGGTGGAGCTTTTAGGTGGGTATAGCGGGTGCATCAGAACATCCCAACCTAGCTCTACCAATTTCTGATGAGGTTGCAAAACCACGTGAGGTTTTGTTTTTGGCATACGTACGTTGTACATTGTAAATTGATCTTTCCATCTAAATCCACTTGACTTGTTTCCACTCTCTGCTTTCCTAATCAATGAAAGATTCTCCAGAGGTCGTATATAGTCAAAGCAATTCAAGCGAGACGAGAAAAGTCCTATTATGACTGAGGTCTTTATTTTATCAAGCGGCAATTTTATCGTCTGAAAGTCACGATATTTAAACTTCTGCCGCTTAAGTTGGCGAGATATGACATGTGGTCTTTTTAAATGTAGGTTGTCCATACGAGTACACATGAACCCAGGACAAAAACTGCCTAGTCCCAGATAAAAAATGACATCATTCGGATTGGCAAATTCCGGACACTTTTCGCTGATTACTGCCTTTAATCATTCAAATTGGAAACAATATTTGTTTGATTTTTTTTTGTTTTGTTTTACGGCATATCACCACCTCAGTGGGTTATTTAATACCGAAAAGATTTTTATTGCTGGTAATATTTTTTCCAAACATGTATAGCTGGTAATATATTTTTTTCTTTCAAAAATGTATTGCTGGTAATATTTATTTTCTTCAAAAATGTATTGAAACCTATTTTTACATTTTCATAATGTTTTCACTCCAGTTTGGGGATTAGTTATTTGCCCATAGCTGGGACCCTAACAAGTGCTACTACACCCTGTCAGGGTGCACCTGAGAACATCAACAATTAAAGAGGTGGTTCCACGTTCCTAAAAACATCTTGATCAGAAGCCTTGCTGTTGGATTTATTTCATCGTCTTACCAAGGACTCGGATGTAGTTTATCGTCTTACCCAGGACGAATATTTGTTTGAATACAGATACATAGCATCGTCTTCTACGTCTTTTGTAATAGTTAACGATGGCTCATTTTATTTCGCCCCATAAAATTTTTCTCTCCACATTGTTCTAAACAAACCATGTTTCATCGCCTGTGATTGTTCTTTTCAAAAATGTGTTGATTTTGTTGCGCTTGAGTAGAGAATAGATGGAAATTGACTCGATTAATTTTTTTCCAGTTAAATTTTCAGATACACAAAATTGGTAGGGATTCAGTTATTCAAGCGTTTACAAAGGCCTTGCAAAGCTCATATATGGAGTATCTTTGCGATATCCCGTGAGGTGTGACCTGGGCTATTTTTTATCAGCGTTTTGGCTTTTGTTATCACCAACGACTGAAGGCCTGACGGAACATTTTGAGTCAAGCGAACAACTTATGAACAGTATTCTCATCTATGGTAGCATGTCCATAAACGGCGCATATATTCTTTGTCATTTGTACAGCGTTTTTGTTTTTGTTAAAAAAAAAGATAGAGAGCCTCAAATACCGAAAATACAGGTCATTTTTCTATATTTTCACTTTTAACATAAAAAAAAAACATTTAAAATTAAGAATGCAAACACTAATCGGGGAAAAGGCACATTAAAACGTCGCCAATCAGAATATATATATATATATATATATATATATATATATATATAATATATTTTATATGAAATAAAATTTTGGTGAAATAAATTATTGTAATGGTACCTTAAAAGTGGTCTGTTTTTCTTTAAATATTAGCTCTGATCTTCACATTGAGCTCTCAGGATTTCGTCCTCCTTGGATTTACCAATTCGGTTTACCAAGTTCTTTATAACTTAAATATATATATATATATATATATATATATATATATATATATATATATATATATACATTTCATTCACGAAATCATAAATACAAATTACAACAATTTGAAAAACGCTACAAAATTTTCTTCCAACGCAGTAGATATTTAAATTTTTATAAAAGCCACATTTATCAGGTATATATAATCAATTTTAGTAGTAATCGTAACTGTGCAAATTATTTACAACAAAACGAATAATTCCATTATTTTTTACATTTTTTTTGCATATTTTTCCAATGAAACATGACCCAACGCACATATTAGAACTTTGTATGTCCCTTCCACGAAAACATTCCTTGCAGATTGACCACAGATTCTCAATTGGATTTAAATCAAGAGAGTTTCCGGCCCAGTCTCTAGTACTTTGATTTACTCACTAGTAAGGCTTGCCAGTGTGTTTGTGCAGCGTTACAATTTTTGTACGCTTCCTTGGAGTAACTTCCATCGCAGACAATGGCCGGAGGACAACTAATCGACAGCCGAGACAACAGTGTCTGGGCGGGATGAAATCTGATGCAATATGACGAAATATTTTTCAAAGCCAAACAAATTTCATCATACACCCTGAAAATAGATTCATATTACTGCCCACCACTGCAAATGACCTAATCTGAGGAAAAAATAGAAATCGATTGCCCCACTGTCACCCCAGTGGGTCTAAAACTGACCATATGGCGAAAGAAAAGAAAATTAAAGCGGTTGTTTCAATTAATTTGCACAAGGGTGTAAAAATACCCTCTGGTTGAATGTAGATGTCCAAATGTAACCATCATTAAATTTGTCAATAAAAAAATTTCTGTCTGAAATTCTGGGATGAAGATTTAGCATAATTTACATTATTTACACGCGGTCTATTCTCCCTGTCTTTGCGGTTACTATCACTGCGCTTCGGTCATTGTGCTCACTAACTTTCCTCAGGTGAGTGTTGATTCGAATAACCTTCAGACAATTTAGGTTTTGTGCCCCAGTTTCTCTCCACCGTTTTAATGCGATCGATTCCAGTGCGCCAATCACTACTGGAATCACCTTGACATTCTCTTCTTGCATTCCAAACAATCCTGCCATCTCAACTTTGAAATCAGAATAGTTTATAATTTTCTTAATCACCTTGTTTGCTATATTTGGGTCATTTTGGTATGGCGACATTGATAATATGGCAGTTCTTTAAGTGCCTTTATCCAGCGGAAGAATATCCGGACTGGCATATTTCTCTGTTTGTCTAAAAATCGTAGTTCTATAATATTATGGGATTTCCAACTTCAATTGTTCTGTGATTATTATTATTATTATTTCTTTGGGTTTCAGTTGCATACACATTAACATCCGGGTCCCGAATCAGGGACATAAGCTCTATCTTGCTTTACAATCGTTTTCGCCGACAGGGGCTGAAAAATCTATGAGAAGATATGCATTTTCAAAATTATATTTCACAATAATATCTGGTTTCCCTATGATTTGAAATGCTGAAATTCCGAAGGGTGGTAACCTCATCATTCTGTACAAGTCGTGTTTGCTTATGTTCCCACCAACTGTCTTTGCGAGGGAGGTTGAACGCTCCATATATGGAGCAATATATTCTGTGAGCCAAACTATTATGTCTTTGTTAGTACTCCATTGGCGCCAATCAGCTACACCTAGATATTATGTAGACAAATTGTCCCCGGATGTTCTACATATATACGTCAGGATTGGTGCTCTTAAGTTTTAGGATAATACTGTTCCTAATTATTATTTTTATTATAAACGTTTCATCACCACCGAGAAGGCCTCCATTCATGATGAATAGATATAATCTTAGAGAGCTTCTTTGTCTCAAAAATTCTATTGGGTATAAAGCTGAATTCAGAAACAAAATGGCACTGGTATATTCTTGCCATGGCAAAACATTCTGGAAAAATGGTCGGTTACTTCTCTCTCTCCGGGAAATACGTGAATACTACTGCCATTTTATCTTTAGAAACGTCAGATTAGATCCAAAATGGAGTATTGCTGCTATATATGGCCTGGAGTTGTTTCGGCTCATTCTATCGCTCCAGAAAGTACATAACTCCTTTTGAAAGGCTTTATCTTTACAAGAGTCAGATTAAACGCAAAATGGAGTATTGCTGCTACATCTGGGATGTTTCGGCTATCTCTCCAGAAAGTACCTGACTCCTTCTGTCCTGCTTTATCTTTACAAGAGTCAGATTAAACCCAAAATGGAGTATTTCTGCTATACCTGGGCTGGAGCTGTTTCGGCTCATTCTATCTCTCCAGAAAGTAAATGACTCCTTCTGCCCAACGTTATCTTTACAGGAGTCAGATTAAACCCAAAATGCAGTATTTCTACTATATCTGGGCTGGAGCTGTTTCGGCTCATTCTCTCACTCCAGAAAGTAACTGACTCCTTATGCCTTAACGTTATCTTTACAAGAGTCAGATTAAACCCAAAATGTAGAGTTTTACTTCTATATCTGGGATGGAGTTGTTTCGTATGATTCTATTCTTCCATATATTTACGAAAGTCTTTTAGTCTGATACAAACTTTATTAGCCATTCATGACAACTGCTATTTCCAGTGTCGAATGGCTCACGTATGCAATGCATGCACTGCCTTCTCAGATTTCTTTTTCTTACAAAAAATGTTTTTCTGAGAAACATTTTTCTTCGCTTTCCCCTTGTCTATTTTAATTCTATTGCCGGGGGGTGTTTCAGTAGTTTTCTTAATTCCGACGATTTTTTTTTCTTTTGACGAAGTTTCGGACGAAAGGGTAAGTTGCAAGTTGAGAGAACACCGACTTCTTCCCTCATCAGTGATTACAGGAAGCCCACTTTTACTTGGCTCTATCTCAGCTGGGAATCTTTTGTTCCTAAGTCTAGAAAAATGAACCCTGTCAAAACACTTACTCATCGTGCATTGATGATATGTTCGAAGTGCAAAGTAGATGCCGAATTCAGGAAATTACTAATATCTCTTGCCAATGGCTGGAAAAAATAGTTCAAAACATGTCAGACAAAACAGATGTCAGTAATAAATGAAAAGAACAGATACTGAAAAGCCGAAACGTTGTAATAAGGCCGAAACGTTGTGAAAATATGAATGTGGACAATAGTCCGAATAATGTAAATAGTGTACATAATACCTCATCTCTCAAAAATGCGGACAATAGTCCGAATAATGTAAAAATGTACATAATACCTCATCTCAGAAATATAGACAGATACTGAAAAAACGTTGTGATAAATAACAAAGTGGACAATAGTATGATAAATATAATACCTCATCTCAGAAATATAGACAGATACTAAAAGATGTGGACAATAGTCCGAATAATGTAAATAGTGTACATAAACCTCATCTCAGAAATATAGACAGATCTCAGAAATATAATATGGTGACAAAGATGTGGACAAGGTCCGAAACGTAAATAGTGTACATAAACCTCATCTGGTAGACAGATACTAAAAAAACGTTGTGATAAATATGGTGACAAAAAATGCGGACAATAGTCCGAATAATGTAAATAGTGTACATAATACCTCATCTCAGAAATATAGACAGATACTGAAAGGCCGAAACGTTGTGATAAATATGGTGACAAAGATGTGGACAATAGTCCGAATAACGTAAATAGTATAAACTGACAAGATTAAATATAAATAAGCACGCGCGGAATCACGGGAAGTTGTTAAGAGAGAGAGAGAGAGAGAGAGAGAGAGAGAGAGAGAGAGAGAGAGGATGGAAAGAGAGAGCGTTTTTTGTTTTAGGCAACCGGATTTTTTTCTTTCCCCTCCCCCATGTCTTTTTTAAATTTTATGGCAAGGGGGTTTGTTTCCTTTCAATAGATTTTCTTATTTCCTAGTTTCTTAATTTTTCTTCTGACAATTTTTCTTAGTCTCGAGTAATAATAAAAATTTTAAAATACCTACCTTAAAGTTTCTATTATTATTGGAAACGATACTTTTGTATCCGACATTTAATAAAAAGGATCCTTGTTTTAAGAAGGCTATTTAGTCAGTTTTACACTAAAAATCTTTTCACACACACACACACACACACACACACACATATATATATATATATAATAAGACTGTTTTCATTTAGTTTCATGAAGAGTTTGTGAAAGTAGAGACATTTTTAAAATACATTTATTTGCAGTTATTGAAGTTGCTTTCAACATTGAAAAAATAGTCTGTTTGAAGAAAGCTAAAATAAAAATACTTACCGTATAAACAAATCATATTTTGAAATCATATAAAACATTGAAGTTGCTTTCAAGTTTAAAAAAAATTGTCTTTTTGAAGAAAGTTGAAATAAAAATATTTAAAATATTATTTGTTTAAAGAAAGATTAAATATAAATAAGCACGCGCGGAATCACGGGAAGTTGTTAAGAGAGAGAGAGAGAGAGAGAGAGAGAGAGAGAGAGAGAAAGAGAGAGAGAGAGAGAGAGAGGGGGGGATGGAAAGAGAGAGCGTTTTTCTCCATTTCCTTCTCTTCCCCGACCCTTCCTAAACGATAATAAATTTATATCTTCCTTTCAACCACTCTCTGTATATGACTTCTGGCAAACACTAGAAATGTTCACACACTTTTATAGTAGTAAAGATATTATATGAAAAGATTACTTAACTTTTAAATATCAATTTTATCCTGACTTCGAAGTTTCTTGGTAATATTTCCAGTATTCAGGGGTTGTGGTTTTAAACGCTATTTCTATTTTTATTTTTTCATTTTTTTTTACATTTTTTTTTCAATTTGTTTCGCGTCTTTTTCAATTCGCTTTTTCACTCTGTTTTAGATTAATTGATATTCAAAAGTTAAGTAATCTTTTCATATATTATTAATGCTCTATTTTTAATATTATTTTTTAATATTGAGCACTACATATAAAAATATCAGCTGTTTTCTTAAATCTTAAATTTAAATTTATATATATATATATATATATATATATATATATATATATATATATTGATATATGTTTCATTAAATAATATAGACAAGTGTTGTTTATTTATTTTATGTAAATTCTTTTCATATCGTCTGATAAGTTTAATAACATTATCATTAAACGAAGAAAGAAAATCACAATATTGATACATATATTTTTAATCCAATCTAAGCTTTCGGCTTACATAAGCCATTATCAAAGATGACAATTACATTACAATATATTAAGCAATACACGGACAAGACAGTAATGAGAGTCTGCTTCTGTTTACATGGAAGATTTCCAAGCAACGAAAAACTCGTGCATATAAGACGCTGGCAGCGAAAATCGCACCGCAGCTCATGACGTCACACATGACCACGCGAGAGTGAATTCGAGAAGTATTAAGTATGGGAAGCCGTTGGTATAAACCAATGGCTTCTGTTACCAATTATAGGCATTTAAGAATATTTATATCATATAAGAATATTTATATTATACATTTAATATAAATTATATATTTAATATAAAAATATAAAAATGTTAGAATAGTATAAGAATTATTTATTACAATTTTGTCATATAGACAAAAGCAGTTTAAACACTACAAAGTTACCAAGAAGAAATCACTAAGCCATCACTTTAACACCTCATCCATACTTACACCAAACTGCTATCAACATGCACTACTGTTTCACTCCGTCACCTTATATATATATATATATATATATATATATACTCGACTCTCCCGTTACCTTTTTGCGTTATGTATATTTTTTCCAAACAAATAGAAAAAGGAAGTAACGTTTCACATACGGCTTGCTTATAAGCAGAATTGGTCATAAACATTTTTGTTTCCCACCAGTCGAGGTGCAACTGAAATGCACCGAAACGAAGTTGCATCTTTGTAGTAAGTAAACTGTTTTTGTCTATATGATAGAAATTATAATAAATAATTATCGCTTAACTATCGGTATCGAGCCCTCTTTTGAATTAATGCTGTGAACGTTGGAATTTATATATTACTTTCGTTCTCACTGCATTGTAAAAAATATTTCAGTTGAGCTCCCTGGGGAGGAAGTGTGGGTTTGTAAACAGTGACTATTACGGCTAATAATGCAAGACTCTTCGGTAAATCGAATTGAGTTCTCTCAGCCACTGTGTGTTTATCTAAAAATAAATAGGCTTAAATTCACTTTCATCCCTGTCGTGCGCGAACAGTCTAGCCAAACTGATGAGCTGTGATACATCGAAACAGTCTGTCTGTGGATGACAATATATATGTTTCTGAAAAATTTATTTTAGTGGAGCTCTCTGGGGAGGAAGTGTGGGTTTGAAAACAGTGACTATTACGGCTAATAATGCATGACTCTTCGGTAAATCGAATCGAGTTCTCTCAGTCACTGTGTGTTTATCTAAAAATAAATACGCTTAAATTCACTTTCATCCCTGCCGTGCGCCAACGGCTTAGTAGTAGAATCCCCGACTGACGCCAATTCCGTCGGGTTTCGATCTAACTAGAGGCACCTGGACGTTTAGCCACAGTGATGAGCTGTGATACTGCGAAACTGTCGGCAGACAATATATATATATATATATATATATATATATATATATATATACACTACTGGCATTGTATATATATATATTATATATATATATATATATATATATATATATATATATATATATATATATATATATATATATATATATATATATATATATACACTACTGGCATTGTTCAAGAAATTGCGCTGACTCCCAGAAAGTGTAACTAATGACCATTAACCCAGTTCATCCTGAGTCTTTGTGGCATTATCGCCTTGCTTGGAGCGAAGTGATTAAAAGAAAGCGTATTCTTGAAACTTGAGCGTCTTCTTCTTCACTTCCTACGCGTAATGTTACATACATTCGCCGTTCATTGTGTGTTTATCATGTCTCCTTCCCAAAGCGGCTTGAGTTTTTCAAACTATTTCTACTTGAATTTCTTATCCTTCAGATCATTTTCTTCCTTCCTCGATCTTTTATTTCTTTTTTTTTTTTTTTTCGTTTCGTCAATTCCTCGTTTTATCTTCTGCCGGCTCCGCTCACTTTCCGTTCAAATGCATTCATTATAATTTAATTCGGTTGGTATCAATCAGTTCAACGAAACGAAATATCTCCGCATTCTCATTCCTAAATTTTCCACTACTTTTAATATTTTACGGACATTCAAAAGGAAAACGCGAAAGAAAGAAATCAAAATCAAGGAAGAGGAAATAATCAAACAAGCCGAAAATGATGGCGGCGAATATTTCCATTGTTTTATTTTCTTTTTCTGTTTTTGTCGTCATTTTCTTTTTTTTTTTTTTTTTTGCTTTTAAGTTTTTCGGAATCGCATTATTAGAATACGGAAAAAAGGAAATACGAAACAAAAAAATATTACCATTCCGGATTTTAATAAATTCTTTTAAAGTTGTTATGCGGAAAAAAAATGCTGCTTTATATATATCATTCTGTTCCTATCTATCTATCTATCTATCTATCTATCATTCGGTCCATATCTATATATATATATATATATATGTAATCAAGTCATATGTGGGGAGGTGGCTGTCGGTTCTTAGGAACTGGGTTGCTTGATATGTTGAAAACAACGGGAAAGTCCATTACATATATATATATATATATATATATATATATAGACAATTCTTACACAGTATTTCACAATAAGGATTCTACTGTACGCATGGAAGAAAAAGGCCATGAAAAATCTATCACTTTAATCACAGTGATTTGTCAGTCATCTTTAATTAAAACCTGTATAAAATAGGGTGTATTGCCCCGATACACAATTTATATGCATACATATTTTTTACACTAAGTTTCATCTTGTACAAAGCCAGGAGGCCACATGAGGTAGAGGGTTAGGTTAGCGGGTAATTTATATGGATAGGAGGGGTAGATAAAGGTTAACTCTAGACTTGAATAGGTTAAGATTGTAGCGATCGAGAAGCATTCCCTTGGGATTTTGTTTTTCAGGGCATTGGTTCACGGGAAGAAGCTGTTTGAGTGGAACTTAGTTCTCACCGATGGAATGTGGATGGTTTTCTACTATGTAAGAGGCACGGCAGGTCCTAGACGCGAAGGTTAGGCCTGGCAGAACCCGGAAATGCAGTTCATCTGAGCACTTTAGGTGGTAGTAGCGATAAAGCAGTGTGTATGTGTGTGTGTGAGATGGAGAGAGAGAGAGAGTGAGGAGGGGAGGGAGAGAGAGAGAGAGAGAGGTTAGAGAGTAGAAAATAATTCTTCTTCCAGAAGGACTCGGAGACGCTTTTGAACTCTATCAAGACGAGAAAGTGAGGTCCTGCCCAAATATGGCAACAGTATTCTATTTTCGGCCCGATCTGGCTCTTAAAAAGATAGTGGATAGCGTGAGGAGTCAGGTACTTACTGCTGCGGTAGAGTGAACCGATCATTTTACCGGCATCTTTAGCGATATATCGTGTATAGGAATTCAACTTGACGTCGGCGGAGAGTTTGAAGCTTAGTATCCTCTCGGGGCAAGAGGCCTCTTCGAGGCGACATCCGTTCATCGTTAATGGCGGTAGTTCAAGGTCTGATCGACGGTGATGGAATGTAACAAATTTGGTTTTAAAGGCATTAAATGTGACCAATGTTAGATGAGAAGAGAGGTCACCTACCAATCTCTGATCGTCAAGACTTAAAGATGCGCCCGTATATCGTCATATCATCGGCACAAGCGAATGATAGGAGTATATTCTAAAGTAGATCATTTATGTAAATCAGAAAGAGGGTTGATCCAAGAAGTGACCCCTGGGCTACGCCTGATTTGACCGCTAGGGCCTCGGAAGACTGACGTGCCAATGAGAAAAAGGTCGAGAAGGTTCGCCTGCTGTCCCGTCGCATCCGGGACTCGGGTGTGTTCTTCAATGATCTGAGTTAGTTCATATGAGATACAGAAGACTCTGCAATATCTGCTTATTCATCGGTTTGGTTTGAGTGGATTAAGCACTCTTTGTATAGAATGTTAACGTAACCGCATACCTGAAACTTTCTCCGAGGGAAATTTGATGAGGATATTGTGCATACTGTTATTATATATATATATATATATATATATATATATATATATATATATATATATATATATATATATATCGGTGGAGATTGGGTCAACACCGAGCAATAACAGTCAGTTTCATGCTTCAAAAGCAATATTCAGGCTATCTCTCTCTCTCTCTCTCTCTCTCTCTCTCTATATATATATATATATATATATATATATATATATATAGAGAGAGAGAGAGAGAGAGAGATTGATAATATTAGTGGTCAATACACAAACACACACACACAAACACACACACATACATATATATATTTGTATATATATATATAATATAAATATATATACATACATACACATATATATATATGTATGTATAAAAAATAATTCCAAGAGGATAGAATCCAGGTAGAACTCAATGTCCAGGACAGAGTAAGAATATAATAAAAAGGCTTAAACACTAATATTCCATAGTTATAATTT